AGAAGATTCCGAAGAGAAATTAAAAACTCAAATAAATGAAGTCTTTAAAGGTGAAACATTTAAAAATCAAATAAATGAAGTCTTTAAAGGTGAAACGTTTAAAAATCAAATAAATGAAGTCTTTGAAAATGAAAGTTTTAAAAGTCAGATAAATGAAGTATTGAAAAATCAAATGGACGAAACGTTGACAAATAAAACAAATGAATTGAAAATTCAAATGGATGAAGCGTTGACAAATAAAACAAATGAATTGAAAAATCAAATAAATGAATTGAAAAATAAAATGGACGAAATTTATAATATAATAGCATGATAAGAATTTTAATTTTAGCTATCATATAGGATTTTTATTTTATTCGATAGACTTTTTTTCTTATTTGTTTTTTTTTTAAAATAAAATTATTTTTACTAAAAGTTTGATAAATCATCCACATCTGCAATTTGAAGCTTTTATATAATGCGAGACACCCTAAAGGTTTCACAAACTTTAAAAGCTAATAATCATTAATATAAAAATAATATCATAAAAAATAAGGCACTATTTTGTAGTTTAACTAATTTACTACAGCTTAGCGGCTTTTTTTCAAAAATTTGGTGTAATTTTTTTTATTTAATGAGTTTAAAAGTATTTTTATATGATATCGATGCGTAAAAATTTAACCAAAAATGGGACAAATCATGTGCTTTTGCTTCTTGCTATCAGCTATTGGTAATTTTAAATTAAGTTTTGGCCAATCAGAATTCAAAAATTATCGAAAATGATGTTTTTATCTTTAGGTGTCCTGCAACGTACCAGAAACAGCACATCATTATTGTTTGCAGAAAAAGTTAATTTGTGTAAAGTGAAAAATCTTGAGTTAGCTAAACAATATCGGTGGCATGACCCTATTCGTTACATAAAATCTACTTTTGGCATATAATCTTATGAAACAAAAAGTTACAACAAAATCATTAATATTTTGATTATGGACAATAAAATTTCATAATTTTTCAATGGTTCAGACAAAGTTTACGAGTTCTCTTTCTAAATTTTTTTTATTTTGCATGTTAGTTTTCTTTATCAGATGGTGATTTGTTTTAATCGCTTCGACTATTTTGATTATCAAATATAAAAAATCTTTTTATAGAGAAATTACTGTTACACGTATCTGGTTTTAGACCATCTTTGTAAATATTATTCTCGCTCGGATCATTTTTACTATTAAAACATTTTTATTATATGATTTATGAAGATACATCATGGGAGTAGTGCTGTTCGCCGCAGATCACGTGGATCACGTGACGAAAGGTCAAAGAGCATCGAATACAAAATATGCATAGAGTTAAAAAAAAAAAAAAAAAAAAAAAAAAAAAATTTTTTGAACTGCATGCGTAAGATGTTTTATGACCAGGCAAATGCAAGATATGCCGCAGTCAAGTAAATAGAGGTGTACATAATACACTATCCATCTTCACTATCTGTTTACTTCCCCCTCTTTTTTTTTTTTTTTTTTTGACTATGTAAAGATTCAGCTGCAAATAAAATAAAATAGATAAAATAGAATAAAATAGAATAAAATAGAATAAAATAGAAAATATTAAGCGTCAAGAAGCACGTCATCAAGCAGCAGTTGGTGAGCATATTCTTAAGCACTTTGCAACTCCTTTTCGGGTGGGGGGAGTGGGACTAGATACGATAAGCCAGATAAAACAATCGGGCAGCGAAAGAATCAAGCACTTCCGATCATCTCTCTAAATTTATTTCCTTAAATTACAATTCATTATCTCCCTTCTGATTTCTTTCAACTTCCTTATTTGGTTTCACGTGTTTTGGGTGATCCTCGCGATAATAACCCTTACGCTGACTACATCAGCTTATGGGTCATTATTCTCGCTCGGATCATTTTTACTATTAAAACATTTTTATTATATGATTTATGAAGATACATCATGGGAGACAAAAGAGGATCGGAAATGTGATTGAGTTTCGCTCAATTAATTATATCTACTTAAAATCCCATTTTTGTAGATGTATTTTGCAGCACAGTTGAAAATGACCTAAGGTAAAGTGCTACCGATTGAGACAACCACCCCCCAATACTCATAATTTGAGGCAGCGTCAGTCCGGCTTTCATAGCCCCTGTTGCGCCACCAATACGTAAACTATGCCCTGAATACCTACCATCCAAGCCTGCATGACATGCCATTCTTTTTACTATTGAGGCTACCGTTCCTGTTGTCATATGTTTTCCATGCATATTCTCAAATAACCAATTACTATCGTCCACCTTACCTCTCATTTTTAAATACTTCAAGACTAGATTTACAGGGCAATATCATGACTTTGTGGAGTCTATTGGTATGAATTTCCCTTTTGCAAATTGGTCGGTTTTTGACCTATTTACTCTAACCCAACAGATTCCTTCATGTATCTTTAGGTCCCACACTTTTAAATTACATAACTCTCCAGGTCTTCTCATTGTGCGCAAACCTAGGGCCACTAAAGCACAGTCCCTCATCCAAATTAAGGTTAAAGTGTTATGGGGTGGGTTATCCATATAGTTTCTTAAAGCCTCCACGGGCAAGGGATCTCTTGGCCATGTTGCTTCCTTATTTTCTGCTGCTAGGTTTTGTAGCTTTTGAGTTAAATTTTGTATGTTGAAGTTCAGTGTGGGGTCCTCATATCCATATATACGGTGGTACCAACTGATTGCAATTATGTGAAAGCGTGGGTTTACAGACCACGATAGTAAGTCCATCCACATAATAAATATCATGATAGTTTCTGGTTTTGCTGGGCATGCAATCATTTTATGTAGGCCACAGAAGGCACAAAACTCCTTCCATAGTAGTTGTAGGCGTTTTTCATATGATGATCTCGGTAGTAGAACCTTATAAGCTCTAGATAATAGTGAGTCTAAAATTGTATTTTTACAATTTGAAATTTTCAGTTCGGGTTTTTCCAAGGTTCTGGTGGTGTGTTTCCTCCTGGGCTTGGTAGGAAACTCAGGTTTGCTGGAGGAAGATCTATTATTTCTATTTGCCGTTGGAAAAGAAGTGGCCACCAAGGGGCAGAAGGCCATACTGGTATCACTAAAGTTACCCTTGCATGTGATTGTAGCGCATGCTCGAGTACTCTGTGTATTAGACTGAGGGGGGGACAAATATAATTGCTTTCGTCTGTCCAATTCTAAGTGAAGCAATCGACTGCTTCTGTCTCTGGGCAATGTAGGCAGCTGTTGAAACGACTCACCTTCCTTGTAAAATAGCTTGCCATTCTGTCTATTGTAAATGGGCCCCATTTTTTGTTTGCCATTTCGAATAGTTTTTAATTTAGGGACCAGTCTGACTCATCGAATGTTCTTGTCAACTTGTCCGCGGGGTTCAACTTTGAAGGGACCCACAAAAACTCGTGGACTTGTATATTGTTGGCATTGCAAAACTTCCATACTTCGCGCATTAATTCTTTTTGCCAAGGTCTTTTTTCTCCAGACTCCATTGTTTTTCTTGCCACACGATTGTCTATAAAGACAGTGATGCAGTGGTGGGCAATGGTGGGTGCAAATGACTCGAGGCCAAGTAATGTTGCCATTGATTCGAGGACAGCAATATCGGTATGACCATGATAGTTTTCCCAATTTCTGAAGGCTCGCTTTTCTCCTATAGTGGCGGACCATCCTGTAGTTGATGCATCTACATACACTGGTATTATTTGTGAAGGTCTCCAAGCTGGACTTCCGTTTCTTTTCTTTAGATTCTCTATCACCCAATTTACATTTATAATCGCTTGAGGTGTCAGTCGCACTGGGTTGTCCCACTCCCAAGGCTTCCTGTGTTCCGTATCTATAATTGAGTATAGTTCCAAACAGCATACTTTTGCATGTTTGAAAGCTCGATTTAGACTTATTAATTTTCCTGCGGCCACAGAGAGATTCCGGACTGTAATTTTTTCTTTGGTTAAGATCTCTCTTAAGCAAGACACTACATTGCTTATTTTTGATTCTGGTGCTGATACTTCTCCTTTTACTGTATCTAATATCATTCCGTTGTACTTTGCTTTTTGTGTAGGTTCCAAGTGTCCTTTTTCCGCTAAGATGAATCCGCAGTGCTTTAAGTCTACTAATATTAGTAAATCCCTTATTTCTAATAATCGTTCGCGTGAAGGGTGTGCAATCCAAATATCGTCCACGTGATTGCCGCAGAATATCCCTTTCGACCTCCAATGCCCTATTAGGGCCCTCATTAACTTTGAAAAAATCCAAACCGCTTGACTCAACCCAAAAGGTAATACCCGATAATGATACCAACTCATCCCTATCCTGAATCCCAATAACCTTTGTGCTTTTTGATCTATTAATATATGGTGATAACCGTCCTTTAGGTCTAAAACAATTATTCACCAATTTCGACCTACTATTCTTAAAAATGTTGCAAGACCCTCGAATTTGAATGGCTTTTTTGATAATGTCTTGTTTAATCGTCTGAGATCGATGATTAAACGCCATTTCTTTGGCCCTGATTTTGGCACTAAGAATATTGGACTCACTTCTAACAATTGACTTGGTCTTGTTTTCCCTTTTGAAACCAAAACTATTGCTCCTGTTTCCAATAATCGGTTTATCTCTATATTTAACCAAGAACGTTGATCTTCTGTAAGAGGATATTGGGGTGGGTCTGGTTGCATTGTTAATTGGAATAATCCTCTTGGAAACAATGGAATACCTTCCTTTACCCATTTTATCACTAGACTCGAGGCTTGTATTTTTCTGACCCAATAAACTACATGTTTCTCTATATATATTCGACCCACTACTGGTATTACTTGTTGAGTTCGAGCGTAGTCATTCATATTTGGTCCCATCTTGCTGCCTATTGAACTTATTTCTATAGGCATTGTAACCTCGTGACTGGTATCTAAATTGGTTGTTAGGTTGTTGGTTCGGGCTTCTGTTTGGGTCCGAAGTGCAGGTCCTTGCGAAGTGGCCATAACCGCCACAGATGTAACATTGGTTTTGGTTTGTTGTAGTGTGTTTTTGTGTCTGGTAGATAGGACGAAAAAACTTATTTGCGTCCTGGGAATTACTTTGATAGCTATTTTGATAATTGTTGCTTTGGTAACTATTAAGGTAACTATTTCTCCCCTGCAAGTATCCTAGACCTCTCCCAGTACTGTAGGTTTTTTGCCGCTTATTCTTTTTAACCTCTGCTAATGCCCTCGCCTTTTCAATTAATGAATCTTTGCCTTTTAGCCAATCATCTTGAACATTAGGTAAGGCTAATGCTATGTTCCAACTGAACCCTTCGGCCACTCTCAATGTAAACATTCTATCCTCAGTTTTTTCTCTAGCAACATTAATATGGTCTGCAACATCAGTTGTTGTTCTGGATTCCATTGCCAAGTCAAGCTCTTTTCCGATGGACCGCAACGCATCATACTCATGTTGATCTCGTGACTTCTCAAATTTATGTTTTGGCCATGATTCTTTAACCTCAGCCTTATGCCTTGTTTCTTGTACTTGGCGCGTTACTGTATTTAACTTATCATCGAACTTTAACAATGCATATTCTAATTTTTCAAATCCTAACAACAACTTGTCTTCTAAGGAACTTGAGGGGCCTTCTTCTACAAGTGACTTCCACTTTTTCATTTCTCTATCCACTTGTGGCTGACAATCAGGTAACTCCTCCACATTCCTTGGTAAGTTGTCCAAGGGTATTCCCCATGTGGTGCGTTTTTCGTTTTGTAATAGGTCTCTTAGAGTCTGTGCACGCCCTTCAGGGTTTACATCCAATACAGCTGAGGTTTCTGTATGGTCGGAAATTATTGAGACATTATCAGCGATTTCTTGCCCCAAATTACTTGTACTTGTTAGTGTCTCTTTTTCTTTCCCTTTCCCACGAGTTGTAACTCCCGAATACTCTTTCAGTTTTTGGATTAGGTCCATTTTATTTCCTTCAGTTGATAAACCTAAACTACTGCATATCTCTAAGAGGTCGCTCTTTGATAAGTTTGACTCAGTCATATTGGTTACTTTGTAAAATGACTAGATACGATAAGCCAGATAAAACAATCGGGCAGCGAAAGAATCAAGCACTTCCGATCATCTCTCTAAATTTATTTCCTTAAATTACAATTCATTATCTCCCTTCTGATTTCTTTCAACTTCCTTATTTGGTTTCACGTGTTTTGGGTGATCCTCGCGATAATAACCCTTATGCTGACTATGTCAGCTTACGGGTCATTAAACATCACATTGATCATGCTGAAATCAATAACTATCAAATCACCTGAATAATCATTTGGTTAACTTTCCACAAGGTGTCCCAGGAATAATGATAACAGCTGTAAGGTTAGTACAAGCTATGAACTTTTTGGTGAATTAAGCTTGTCGGTGAACTGTGTTGTGTCTATGAAATGAGTGTTGGTGAAATAAGGCAGACACCTTTTTAGAACCTTTTCAGGAACAATATATAAATTGTTTTTTTATTCTGCCCTATCATCAGGAACGGTATTTTGGCATTAAACGCAAGTTTTATATTTATTTGGCCTAAAGTTGTAAGGATACCAAATCTCTCCTATTATAGTAGTTCATTTCATTAATACTGTATTTTATTGTATATAATACTTGTGTACTTTATGTTCCATGTGACAAAAATTTGATTTGTACCTTCGGGTACATTATGTGGGGGCACTTTGTAAAGGTGTACACTAAATAGAGATGATATATAAATAATATTGTATCAATTTTTATATTCTTTCAAAGTCACTTTAATACTGTATTTTTTATGTTTTATATAATAAACTTTATATATGATTCTATAACTTATAAAGAGGATTAAATATGATTTTATAAAAATTTTAAATTTTATTTTTTTTTTGCAAGAAAATTTTTTCTTGCAATTTATTTTTTTTGTATTTTTATATTTACATAATATCATATATAAAACTTTCTTTTTAAGTGTTTTTTTATACTAAGAAATTTTTCTTATAGTAATTAGTTTGTTTAAAAAAAATCTTATCTTTTGTAATACTTGATTATAGTATACTTGATTATAGTATACTTGAAAAATATTTTTACAAATTATCTTTAGTAAAAATCAAGATGAAAGTAGATAGTTTAAAAAAAATTTATTATTGTTTTTTATCTTAAAAGAGTTTTTAGTATCACTATATATAAAATAATTAATAGATTTTAGGTTCAACTTAAGCAAATTTGATATTAGAGAAATAATAAAAAAAGTTATTTTTATGTAATGATAATATAATTTAAATGATATTTAAGATATATGTTAAATAATAATTGTAGCATATAAAACATGATTAAGTTATTTATTTTTAGAATAAAATTATTTACAAAAATGTCTTAAAACTTTTTTGTTTATTTATTTAAGATTTTTGTTATTTAAAATCTTTTTGCTTAGTTAAAAAGTTATATTATTTAATTAAAAACCTTTTTGTTTAATATAATTTTATTATTTATTATAAGGTATAATATAATAAGATATTTAGTTTAAACATAAGTTTTCTTTTATAAAAGTTCTATAAACAAACTTAGATTCTAATATAAAGAATAAATATTAACCTTATATAAATAAATCTGTTTGTTATTTGTTTAAAAAGATAGTTCTAAACTAATTCTTATTAACAATTAATGAAAACTTAAGAGTTTCATTTTATTTTAATATAATAAAAAATAAAATTTTACATATTAGTTTAATTTTATATTAAATAACTTAATACTAATACTTAATTAAATTATTGCAATCTTAAAACAAATCTTATTAAGTAAATTTAAGCTTTATATTCTAAGTTAAAACAATTAGTATAATTTAGTATAAGCAAAAGTAGCAATATAAATAAAATTTTTATAATATATTCTTTAATATTTTTTAATAATAAATTTAAATAAAATCTTCTGACTGACCGTCACAACCAAATTATTACTAACCTTGGTCTTACTCCCTCATACCCAGTTCACAATGGCATTGACCAAGGTGAACTATTACTCCTTTATTATGGCGCATATACTATGACCTACTTATATCATACATACATGCACAAGTACTTGGCTATACTTTACAATCCTCTTGGGCTACTAATCTTAAACTTCGAACATTCAACTCATTACAAAAACAATGCTCTG